TTTTATCTTAGGAATTTCTTTTATTTCTTTCCATGTTTCCTGAATCTCCTTTGTCATCCTCTCTATTGAGTTTTTCCCTTGTTTTGCTGAAACACTCCTGATTCATTAGTTTCCTGAGAAAAGGGTTCAAGAGAGGTATACTTTATGAGATCCTCTATCTGTTAGCAATCGGTGTTGTCACTTGGATACCTGAACCTTTATATGTGACCTAATTTTGTTTTTTAATCCCCAGTATTTTGCAATTTCAACAGTGATGTGCCTTAAGGTTTATTTCTTCATTTGTTGGGCTGTGAACTCAACAAACTCCATCATTCTAGAAATTTAAGGGTTCCATTACTGATTATTTCTCTCCTTTTATTACTGATGATTGTCTCTCTCTTTTTAAAAACTGCTATTAAAAACTCATGGTGTGGCATTGTAGAATCAGTACTGGGCTGCAAACCACAAAGTCAGCAGTTCAAACCTACCAGCTGCCCCTGAGAAACCCTTTACAGGGTTGCTATGAGTTGCAATTGACTCTATGACACTTCACAGCAACCATGTTTTAAAATATATTCAACCACATGCGCTTAATTTCTAAAAGCCTTTTGTTTCTTTTTATAGCATTTTATTATTTCATAAATATATCCTCTTCTGTCTCTTCAAGGACACAAATCATGTTTAAATTGTTTGAGGTTTTTTTGAGTTTTGCTGTCATTTTTAAGGGGTTCTGGTAGTGCCATGGTTTAAGCATGGGCTACTATCAGAAAGGTTGGTGGTTCAAACCCACTAGCCACTCAGTGGGAGAAAAGATGAGGGAATCTGCTTCTTCAAAGATTTACAGCTTTGAAACCTCTATGGAGCAGTTCTACTCTGCTGTGTGATCGCTGTGAGTCGGAATCAACTTCACAGCTGTGGTTTTCTGGGGTTTTTGGGCTACTATATCTTTCAAGTTCCTTCTTAAAAATTGTTTGGTCTCAGTCTTTCATGGAAGCTTTCCTCAAAGGTCTAGAGGTGCTCGGCTGCTCTTTCATGAGGCATTAAAAAGGGGCTTGGTAGCACTGTGTACAAGGAAGCTTCAAAAAGTTTGTGGAAATGGAATGAAAAGGTAATGGAATTTTTTCACAAACTTTTTTATGCCTCCTCATATGCATATTAGTAAATCTTAGCCAGGGTGATTGAGTGGTGGTGGTGGTTATGTGCCGTGGAGACAGGGTTTCCGAGGCTGTAAATCTTTATGTGAGCAGAACGCCTCATCTTTTTCCCGCGGTACAGCTGGTAGTTTTGAACTGCTGACCTTGTGGTTCGCAGCCCAATTCATAACCACTACGCTACCAGAGCTCCTTAGTGTGATTGAGTAGGAGCCCACAAATGTCAGGGTATCTGTGGGTCTTTTCACTTGGGGCAGTAGTTCCCCTGAGAATTTCCCAACTTCTTACCTGAGAGTTATGTACTTGGCTCTCAGTATTCTGGGAGGCTGCAAAGGAAT